TTTCAAACTTGGCTTAGGAATCTTCAAAGGAAATAAATAGGAAAGTTGGCATAGTTAGTGGTTTTTCTCACTGGAACTTTATGCACACAATCTTGGAAAACTTTGATGAAGTAAATCTTTTTTAAAAAATCTGTAACTTGGGGATTGGTTATATGGCTCAGTGTTTAAGAGCTCTGGTTGCTCTTGCAGAGGACCTGGGTTTGACTCTCAGGACCCACATGGCACTCTATAACTCTTCGGAAGGGCATTGAATGACACAGGTCCACTTACATACATGCTTAACACTCATACACATAAAATAAGCAAAGAAATTTTTACAAAAATTAAAAGCGAAACCTTTAAAATTTTTAGTAAATGCATAGGTTTTAAATAAAGCAAGAAATCGTGTGTATAAAAGCCAAATCTTTAAAAGCATAGCTCTTCCTCATTTCTACCACCTTTGTCATGGACCTGTGCTTGGAATTATTTCATAGTGTGATTCATTCCTGTGTTATAAACTGAGAACTATAATTGAAAATATTTGTTATGTGCTCTTATTTTGTTTGGCTCATATCTCATTATGGAAATTCTTATAGTGTGATTGTTAATCTCCCTGAGGTCATAGATGATAATATTTACAAAGTAATATAAATTCCACTCTCAGTTATCTGTTCAACTTTAGACAATGGTAGAACATTTGACCTAAGCTGTATTATTTATTTATCATAAGAGGACTAAACTATTATTTGTCATAAGCTGTGCCTTCTATCAGCTAAAGATATTCTTGCATAAAGATAAGATTCTATAGAGTGCCATAGTTCCAATGTAGCTAATATCAGTTTCATTTTTGGCTCAGGGATGTTTTGACTTATTATTTGTCGTGTTTAAATTGTATTACATTGCACATAAATAAAAATTGTGATAGTTTGTGGTTATGCTCTCTGAAATCTTGAAATGAATAAAAGCTTTTAAAATGCTGATGTAGTCAAGTGGTCTTTTTTATGCAGTAATAAGTAACCTAGATTATCAAAATACTTAAGTAAAACAAATACAATTAAGCTGGTAAGTCTAATATTGGTTTATATCTCAAAATTCTTCAACTTGTATGAAATTTCCGGGATACTTTGATCTTTCTTTCTTGAACTAACTTGGCACTTCAAGTATTAAATAAGACTGGTTAAATAATGCATCCAAGAAATTCAGTTATTAGAGCCTAAATTTGTACTTGGCAGGGAAAGCACTCTAAAGACTTCAAGTTGATGTTTCTGCCAAAAATCAGGAATTTTATTTTTTCCAGATTTATTAAAATTATTCATTGGCACCATATAAAATCTGTTGTAGACTTTGGATCTGCTTTTGTTTCTTTATTCATTTTTTCCAGTGAGGCTAGATGATTCACCTTCTGTTTCTGACCTATATGATTAGTATTTTCATGTCCAATTTTATCTTCTTACAGTCTAGTAAACTAATAACTTCATGATTCCACATGGAGAATTTTTTTGCAAGTATTCTTTAATTGAAGTCAAATTAGAGTTTTCAATAAATACTAGGGTTTTCTTTTTTTGTTTTCAAATAATTTTTACTGAAAACCTCAGCTAAAGGAAAGATAACAGATTCCTTTGAAACTGAAAGTTTGCTGCTGCAATGGTAGGTCATAGGATGAGATTAAAAGGACAGAAAAGGAAGCAATGAAAAAACAGTTAACAAAAGACAGTACTTGCTGTATGATTTTAACATCAGTTCTTCAAAATAAAGATGATGTCTATGTGAAAAGATCACGCAATTCACAATTTCGTGACAAACATAAATATATAAATAAGTCTTTAAATTGCTTTCATACTATACTGCTTTGGGAAGAAAAACATTTAAGCTTTTATATAATTGGCACTGTCCAAATTTTCTTTATACTATTTCCCTCCTAGTTTTTGCAATTTTTTTTTACCTTTTTATAATCCGAAATATCTTGTTTTAAGAAATATAAGCTGTAATTAGCCATATGTTTTATCATAGTGTGAAATAATGTAGTATTTGGGGCTGGAGAGATGGGTCAGAGGTTAAGAGCACTGGCTGCTTTGGCAGAGAACCTGGGTTCAGTTCCCAGCACCCACGTGGTAGCTAACAACCATCCATAACTCCAGTTCCAGGGTATCTGACACCCTCTTCTGACCTCCATGGCACAACACAAGTACACTTACATACATGTAGGCAATGCACACTCATAAACATAAAATTACAATAATAAATTAT